AATTATAAAAATATGAACGCTTCCAGCTGCAAAAAAAAAAAAAAAGAAAGTTAAGTGAAAACAAAAGATGCAAGCACAATTATTTTTGCAGCCCTGCACCGAGCAGTGACAGCCCAAACACACTGAGACTGAGGACGAGGATGAGGACATCATCACTGTCCCCCGTCTCCATCCRGATCTGGTCTGCGTCCCTCCTGAGCGTCACGTTGATGGAGCCGAGCAGCCGCTCTGCCTGCTGGAAGAACTGCTCGTCCCGCAGTGAGACAGGAGTGGACTGGATGGACAGAGCCTGGCTGCTCTCCTGTAACCACACTATCTGTGGGGTGAGAAGCAGACGCAATAAGTTCGAATGATGTCAGGACATGAAAGTTTAAGTTTCAGACAGCCGCTAGCTGAGCTTAGTTTAGCTGAAGATACCGGGATTCMGATTTTACAAAGGTTATTTGGTGAGAAGTGAATTCAGAGCAGATATTTAGGAAAGCTAATTGATTAGACTCAGCCAATGGGAGTGCAGGTCCAACCCRCTGATAATGATTGACAGGTCAAGTCATTCTGCTGAAAATCATTGTGGTTTTAAGGTTACAAAGTAAACAGGTTGTTACACCGTTGTTCCTCATGAACTCTGGATTTCAAGCCCACACAGATTCTCAAAAATATTTGTGAATATGTTATATTTCTCACACCCAAAAGTGTTTGTGAACCCGAACGGTAAATTGTTTTTATCGAAACAAGTTGAATATTCCGAAAGATTAACAAATAAACTAACCAGCTTGTCAAAAGATGCCAGGAAATCTGGTTCAGTCTCGCTCAAAAGGCTTAAAGTTTCATCAGGAAGTTCTACAAAAAAAAACAGAGAAAGACAAACAAAACGATTGAAATTAAAAATAGACAGTACTAAAGTATGTTCTGCAAAAATATAAAATAAAAAATATTTTTTGTGTGTGAGTTTTCCTCACCTTCCATGGCACTGACCAGCAGGTAAGCTGAGTTCAGATGTGCAGGGACGCCCCGTTCTGTGACACGGTCCGACTCCAGCTGATCCAGAACAACAGAACTTCTAGAGTTCTGTTGCGGCTCATCGATAACTGTCTGGGCTGTTTCACTGTCGCACAACTCCTCCAGCTGATGGTTAGAAGTAAAAAGAAAAGTTACTTTTTTAAAGAAATGTGCTGTTACATAATTCAAAGTCTGAAGCTGCCGTTTGTCTGGCTGAACTCACCAAACCCTGCAGATATGACAGAGCAGCTCGGTCCCTCAGAGTCTCCTGGAGCTTCTTGGTCAGAGCAAATCGAACGGACTGAGGGAGGTTTCCGAGAGGAGAAAGGTCCATGTACTGTGATCCTGTAAAACACTCAAGTCTATTACTAACATACTTATACAACATTCACCCTACTGAAATAAGTTTTTTCCTCCTGTACATTAGTTTTGGTATGTGTCTTGTTACACTATTTTCTTTATTTTACAATTTTTATATCAAAATGTTGAGCTCCTTCAGGGCACCCTGGCTATGATTTTTGGTACTTCAGCAATTAAAACTTTCTGAGATATTTAGCTTTTTCTGCCGTGTTTTTCTCATTGAAAATGAAYGGAGCTGTTTTTGGACACAGMTTTCCAGTCTCCAAATCTTTACTGTAATTTTCACCTTTTGTTCTGGTTTTTTAATCCYTTACCACTAATTTCTGCTTCCTTCGGCTTCTATTTAGCAGATTTTAGCTTTGTTCTGCTTTTTAAATATCRTCCTGCGATAAGGTTTGTCGAGGGAATGAACCCAAATCTGGACAGACACGAAGAGTTTCAAAAATTGAATGCTTATTTTATAAAAATAAAATAAAAAGCTGACAAGGCAGCAAAACTAACAAAAACTCTGAAGACGCAGGGAGATGACAAGGGAAACCAAACAGCTGGACATGCCAAATAATGAGCCAGTGAGGGTGTGGAGTAAATGACCAGTATATATAT